TCACAGACAAGTCTTTGTGTGGATACATAGTTTCATTTCTCCCTGTAGATCTCTTGCAGTGTAATAACTGGGTTTTGTTGTAAATATATCCATATTTTAGAAAAATCTGTCAAGCTGTTTTCTGAAGTGGTTTTATTGTTTTTCATTCCTACCAGCAATGTGAGAGTTTCAGTTCCTCAGTATCCTCACCAACTCTCAGTATTGTCAGTCTTTTAAATTTTAACCACTCTAACTGGGACATGGTGTGTAGTGGTTTCTCACTGTGCTTTTATTTAGCATTTGCCTGATAAACAATGTTGTTGAACATTTTTTCATGTGCTTATTCATCATTTTTATGGCTTCTTCCTTGAAGTGTCTACATATTTTTCCCCATTTTTAACTGAGCTGTTTGTCTTATTATTGAGTTGTAAGTATTCTTTATATATTCTGGATACAAATCTTTTGAAAAGTATCTGTACTGTAAAATGTTTCTCAGCATGTGACTTGCCTTTTAACTTTTTAAATTAAGTCTCTCATAAAAAGTAAATTTTTATCTTATTACCAATTTATAATTTTTTAATGGGTCATGCATTTGGTATGCCATTTAAAGAAATCTGTGCCTACCTCAAAGTCCTGAAGGTTTTTTCTTTTCTTCCTGCAGTTGTATAATTTTAGCTTCTATGTTTAGGCCTATGATCCATTTTGAGTTAATTTTTATGTGTGGTGAGTAAATTTTGTGCATGGTATAAAGGTTAAGATTCATTTGTTTTCCCATATGAATATCCAGTTTTTCCAGCACTATTTTTTGAAAAGATTATCCTTTCCCTATTTAATTACTTTGGCACCTTTGTTGAATATCAATTGACCAATGGGCTTCTCCATTCTGTTTCACTGACCTATATATGCATCCTTATGCTAGTAATATACTGTCTTGAATTGATGTTGCTACAGTAAGTCTTGAAACGAAGTTGTGTTGTGTTTGAAATGTTTGTTCTCTTTTTAAAGTTTGTGTTAACAATTCTAGGTTCTTTGCACAAATACATACATATATACATATATATATATATATGAATCCATCTGTGCACTTCTTCCAAAAGCCAGCAGGGATTTTGATTGGGATTACGTTGAATACACAAATCAACTTGGGAAGACCTAACATTTTAACAATATTGAGTCTTCCAATCAATCAGCATATTTCTCTAATTATTTATGTCTTACTTGGGTTTTCCTACCCATGTTTGGAACAGTATACAGGTTTAGCACATATTTTGTTATGATTAGTCCTAAATACTCCAGATTTTGAGGCTATTAAAAATTAACTTTTTGACATTTCATTTTAAAAATTTTTATTGATATTATATGCAAATGCAATTAACTTTTGTATATTAACCTTGTATCCAAATACCTTCCCAACTTTCCTTCTGGTTCTGGTGTCTGTGGATTCCTTAGTATTTTCTACTGATACCATCATGTCACCTGAAAATAAAAGTTTTTGTTTTTGTTTGCGGTACGCGGGCCTCTCACTGTTGTGGCCTCTCCCACTGCGGAGCACAGGCTCCGGACGCACAGGCTCAGCGGCCATGGCTCACGGGCCCAGCCGCTCCACCGCATGTGGGATCTTCCTGGACCGGGGCATGAACCCGTGTCCCCTGCATCGGCAGGCGGACTCTCAACCACTGCGCCACCAGGGAAGCCCTGAAAACAAAAGTTTTACTTCTTCTTTTCCATTGTGTATGTCTCTTCTTTCATTTTCTTGCCTTTTTGCACTGGTTAGGATCTTGAATAAAATGATAATAGGAGTGGTGAGAGTGAATAACCTTGCCTTGTTGCCCACCTTAGGAATCAGTCTATAATATGATGATTATAAAGTTTCATAAATTTTTCATTTTGAAGGATTATCTTCTATTCATAACTTGCAGATAATTTTACCACGAATAAATGTTAAACTTTGTCAGATATTTTGTCTGCATCTATTGCAATCATATTGTTCTTATATTTTATCCTGCTTACATGGTGAATTACATTTACTGATTTCTTAACGTTAAACCAATCTTTTATTTCTGAAATAAACTCCATATGGCCATAGTGTATTGTCCTTTTCAGACATAACTGGATTCAATTTTCTAATATTTTATAAAGGATTTTTACAGCTATGTTCATGAGGAATACTTGTCTATAGTTTTCTTTTTTTTAATGTCAAGGAAATGCTGGCCACGTAAGATGAATTTGGAGATATTCCCTTCTACTCTATTTTCAGTTGGTAAGATTGGTATTATCTCATCCTCAAATATTTGGTAGAGTTCACCAGTACTCTACATGGGACTGGTGTTTTCTGGGACTGGAGTTTTCTTTACAGAAAGGATTTAATTATTCAAATTTTTTTACTAGGTATAGGACTATTCACATTTGAAAGCTTCTTTTTAAAGCTGTTTTAATAATGTTTCTTTCAAGTTTATTAATTTCACCATGTTGTTGAATTACTGGCATGAAGTTGTTTTAATTTCTATAGCATCTGTAGCACTACCCTCTCTTTCATTCCTGATATTTGTCATATGTGTCCTTTCTCCTTTTTCCTGATCAACCTAGCTAGAATTTTATCAATTTTGTTAATGGCTCCAAGCATCCAGCTCTTGGTTTAATTGACTTTTCTCTATTTGTTGTCCATATTCTATTTCATTGATTTCTATTTTATTTTCATTATTTCTTTTCTTCTACATTGCCTTTATTATTTTTCTACCTTCATAAGGAGGAAGTTTAGGTCATTGATTTTAAAACTTTCTTCATTTTAATGTGAACATTATTAAGCTATAAATTTCCCCTAGCATTGCTCTAGCTGCATCCAACAAAACTTTATATACTGTGTTTTTTATTTTAATTAAGTTAAAATATTTTTAATTTCCCCAATGACTTCTTCATTTTCATTTGATATTTTTAAAAAGTGTTTATTAATTTCCAAATATTTAAGAATTATCTAGGCAATATTTTATTATTGACTTCTAGTTTAATTTTGTTGTGGACAGAGAGCATATTCTATGATTTCAATTATTTTAAATTTACTGAGACTCATTTTATGTCCCAGCACATGTTCTACCTTATGAAGTGTTCCATGTACACTTGAAAATAGTGTGTAATCTCCTATTGGTCTATAACATTATAGTATTCTATAAAAGTCTATTAGATGAGTGTGAAACTAGATGTCAATGACAGGAAGAAAACTAGAAAGTTTCCAGATATGTAGAAATTAAACAGCACACTCTTGGACAAGAGATAGGTCAAAGAAGAAATCAAAGGGAAATCAAAAAGTATCCAGAAATAAATGAAAATGGAAACACAACATACCAAAATTTATGAAATGCAGAAAAAGCAGTTTTAACGGTAAGAAGAGAAAGGTGCTCGCTCTTACCACTTTTATTCAACATAGTACTAGAAGTCCCATCCACAGCAATTAAGCAAGAAAAAGAAGTAAAAGTCATCCAAATTAGAAAGGAAGAAGTAAGTTGTCTCTGTTTGCAGAAGACATGATCTTACATATAGAAAACTCTAAAGACTCCACCAAAAAACTGTTAGAATAATGAAACAGAGTCAGGAAGGTTCATATAGAAATAAACATAAAAACCAGTCTATACACTTGCAATAAACTATCCAAGAAATAAATTAAGAAACCAATCCCATTTACAACAGCATCAAAGAGAATAAAATACCTAGGAATAAATTTAATCAAGGAGATGAAAGATCTGTACACTGAAAAGTATATGACATTGATGAAAGAAATTGAAGAAGACACAAATAAATGGAAAGATATCAAATGTTCATAGACTGGAAGAATAAATATTGTTAAAATGTCCATACTACCCAAATCAATCTACAGATTTAATGCAATCCCTATCAAAACTCCAAGGGCATTTTGCACAGAAATGGAAAAAACAAACCTAAAATTCATATGGAACCACAGAAGACCCTGAACAACCAAAGCAATCTTGAGAAAGAAGAACAAAGCAGGAGGCATCATACTTCCTGTTGCCTCAACTACCATGAACTCGTATCTCTGTTTCCTCAGCTCAGTGAATGTGACATACTTTTCTGGGATCTCCTCCCTACACAATGATCCAGAAAGTGCCACCAGGCAGAAACCACAGATATCACAGAGCTCACTTCATTTGTTTCCCCTATCTTAGAGATCAAGCTTTGTACTGTCTGAAAACAGATACTTCACATATTCTCTCAATTTTCTAATCATTTACAGAAGAAAATAACTGTCATAAATAACAGGGCTAGGACTAGGGTGAAGCCTTTGGCATCTTACTCTTAAGGAGGCATTCACTTTCAGGGTCATGAAAATGCAGAGTGTGATAGCCTTCTTAAACCTCTCACCCTGGGCATCTCATTTGCTTTACCCTAGTTCCAGTATTAATAGATAAAATTAAGAAACAAATTAGAAATTACAGAAAATATTTGTAACATACATGATGAACCAAAGAATGGTATCTGTCATATATAAGGCTCTTATAAGTCCAAAAGGAAAATATAAAAATATCCAAATAGTGAAAAAAAAGAAATGCAGTCACTATTATTCCATCATGATGAGAAGTAATAGTCTGTGTATTTAAAATTGTGATAATTTATGCTAATATATCCTTTAAAAAATATAGTACCGATTTAAAGTATCATTAGCCATAAATGAAAGCACTCAGTCTTTTAAATCTTACCCAAATTTGATAGGTGAAAAAAATCTATTGTATTAAGTTATACTTTTGAGTTACTGCATGGACTGCTTTTTTTTAATGTTTATTAGCCAAATGTACTTCTTCTTTTGAGAGTTGCCTGTTTATAATTTCTAGCCTATTTTTATAATTCATGGATCTGTAGGGAACAAGATTGGAAGTTTTGGGACAGGATAGTTTGGTGAAAAGCTAAGTGAAGGAAGTGGGCATGGACACAAAACATTGTCTACCAGAATTCTTGTCAGGGCATTAAATGCTGTATCAACAGAGAATGCTCCTTTATCCAATCACATGTTCTACCTTCCTTCATCCAGCATCTTCAAGTTTCATTCCAATGTAATCTTTTCCAAACGTGCTGGCACATATTCTTCAGCTTCTTCAGCACAGTATCTCTCTTCTCCTTTGTCGGACAGGCAGATTCCAGCCTGGCTCTGCTGGGATTTGACTCTGGTTGCATGAAGGGGAATTTGACCCAGATCCTGAGGAAGACAAGCGCTTTTAAGCATCTACCTCATTTGAGGCCTTTGCATTATCTTAAGGCAATAGGGAATCTCTATATTCTCATGGAGAGAATGAACCACTTCTGAAGCTCAAGGTTCTGAAGTAAATCTACTCAGATGTCCCCATCCCAAGCCTCAGCATCCCACTCCTTCCCTATTTGCACCCTGACCTTGACGTAGAAGATCTGCTAGAGATAAGAATTCAACCTTTTTCAAGCCTTGCTACTCTAATGATTAGGCCTGAGCCTGGTGCTCCACTCTGTCCACTGGCTGCAGGGGATTAAAGGTTTCCTTGAATGCTCACAAGAAGACAATCTGGCTTTCACGTTTTGCCTTGATTGGTAAATAAGAAGACAATCTGGGGCTTCCCTGGTGGCACAGTGGTTGAGAGTCCGCCTGCCGATGCAGGTGAACGGGTTCGTGCCCCGGTCCGGGAAGATCCCACATGCCACGGAGCGGCTGGGCCCGTGAGCCATGGCCGCTGAGCCTGCGCGTCCAGAGCCTGTGCTCCGCAACGAGAGAGGCCACAACAGTGAGAGGCCCGCGTACCGCAAAAAAAAAAAAAGAAGACAATCTGGCTTTCACATTTTGCCTTGATTGGTAAATAATCACTTTATGTCTGTCACCATTTCTCCCTGATTCAGTGGTGTTCAGGAAAGCCAACCAATTTCATAGTTATTAGAGTAACCTACTTCCCTCATACCCCTCAAGTGCCAAAAATATCGCATCACTCAGCGTGTCCCTTTCCACCTGTATGTTCATCTCTGGTGAAAGTTTTAACAACTACACGTCATCTGCATGGCAGGAATTACTGACATTCCACTTATCGCCAGTGATGGGGTCCTCAGTGCCAATCTATCATTGAGTAATCCATCTCCACAATTCCATTTTAGAGACTGCTTCCAGGATCATTCCTGTTCCACAGGTTTGCATTTATTTCCTGGAAACAGAGATGGAAAGTTGCATGCAGGGTGGTAGGGGAGTGCTCTTGTGAGATACACCTGTAAGCAAGTAAAGAAGGCAGGAGTGGCGGGAAGGCCTCTAGAGGGAAGAGCTGACCTGCAATGCAGTTTTAATTAAGACCTCAGACAATCCTATGAGAATCTCTGAAGCCAGCATGGCTCTTCAGAGTTTTCTCAAATTGAGACAATAGTTTTGGGCTTAAATGCCCAGACACTGACCATGGGCCATGACACGGGAAAGAGAGTAACCTTGAGGAGGGATTTCCTTGGCTCAAGGGTAAATCCCATGCACAATGCAACTGTGAACCTTCAAAAAGAAATTCAGAGCAGATGGTGTTTTGGCCTTGAAGCGGGGATCTGAATGCTCAATCAGCAATCACAGAATGCTCCCCTTTTCCCTAATTCTTGCCTCTCCGCTACTCAATTACATAGTAGCATATAAGTCTTTTGTCTCAAGGTCTGCTGTTTTAAGAACCCAGGCAAAGATATGGAGAAAAAGGTGGAGGACTATACTAGTTATTTGGCTATTGTCTCTTCAAATACTACCTTCTATCCTGTGCTCTATGGTGCTGGCATTGAGACTCTGCAAATATATTTCCCAAATCTCTTCGCCAGTTTCTTTTGGTACTTAGCCTCATTGCATCTCTTCAGGGGTACTGGCAGCATCTCTGTCATACTCCCTCCTTGGAGGTCTGAACTCTGAGAGCCCCTCTTATAAGCTTCTAGATTCAATACCCCAAGTTTTCCTTTTGTTTCCCCAGTCCCAAGAGATGGCAGCTGTTTCTTAGTTATTTTCTCTGTAGTACTATCTCCTCATTTCCTTTCTGCTTTTCCAGCTTTTTAATTTCTCTGTAACCATCTCCTATATTCACCTTCCTCTGTCAAAATACCTACTGTGGTCTCTTTTCTTGACAGACTCTGCCTGATACAGTCACCCAAAAGAAAGGAAGACAGCAGTGTGCCTTGTGCTTGAGAAGAATGATAACAATTTGGAATAGCTCCTTTGGTGAGCTAGTGCAAGAACTAACAAAGGATGTGAAAAAACGTGTTGCACTAAACAGATTTATTATCTATAAATTTTCAGTAGCGCCATTTTGTGCAATTGTATTCTGGCTGTATTCTTCTGGCAACCAATTTGTAGGAGGAGCACAGGCAACATTTGAGTTGATTAAATGTGTGATGAATAGATGGGTGTCAGAAGGGCAAGGGGGCAATGTTATTGAGGATTCTGCCAGGAGAGTTTTAAGTCAGAAATCACCCTGAATAAGGTCCAGTACATAATAAACTTTTTTCCCAGAGAAATTTAACTATGTAAGTCATATAAATAGAACTCAATATCAAAGCCATCTTATACTAGTGTTTAGAAGTGATAAGAAGACTACGCTGTTCTTTCATACCTGTCTCAAGTTTCAGTGACGTAATGTTAAGTGTTATCATATGATCAAATATTCCATCAAATCTTTGCAAAGCAAAACTAGTTCATTGCTATAGAGTCATTATTTGGATTCTGTTTAGGTTACATTTAGTTAATAAAGAAATAAATAGCTCAACTTTTTTTTCTCTTTTATATCCCATTCTCTTTGCCAAATACTCAAGGCTTAGGAAGGGTCACTTCAGCACAAACTGTTGCAAATTTCCAGAATAAGTGCTGATTCTGTATTCTCTTGTTGTGTAATAAGACTCTGAAGAACTACCTTATTAGAGTTAAGACTGCCTCTTGCAGCAAAACTTGCTATTTATTGCAAAACATGATTGAAGACAACTCATAATTTGGAGGTACACAATTAAGGAAACTCTTTAAGATGATTTTCCTAAGATGACAAACCCATGTTCCACCCTTACCTACACCTCAGTTACTTTAAGAAAGTTAAATCACTTTCATATGTAGGAAATTATAAGACACAGCCAAGTTGTTCCTCCTCTAATACAAAACTGATCCTTGAAAGGGCTGCTCTCCGCTCCATCCCAACTACACTTAGTCTTCCTTTGACATCTTTTACCACTTATACCTCAGATGGAACTAGAGATATTTCTAAGGGCTGTTCACACTCCTAATTAACTGCTCTACAGGGGGAAAAAAATAAGTCTTGTCTTTTGTCATACTGAGAAAGCATGCCTCCTTGTTGGCAACAAACACAATTCTTCTAATCATTTAGGGACATTCCTGTCTGTCTGTGACCTTTCTAGCTGGAACACAACAACTGCATTTAAATAAAACCAAGAGGAAAATTACAACTTGGTGTGGGCTCTTTCACACTCCCTGAAGATCTCCCCCTACACCAGAGCATTTCTGGCCAAGGAGTGTTTGCTGAAACTGGGAAAGGTAAGGAAGCAAGAAGGGGCACTAGAGAACTACAAAATCTTCTTCTCCCCAAGCCATGAACTCCCAGGGGGATAGTAAAATGACACACCCTGTGAAACAGATTTTCCAGGTGAATGGACTGGCTTTGTGAAGGAACTTGGGCTTGGATGGATATTTAACCCAGATGTTTGTGTTACCTATTACTGTGTAACAAACCACCCCAAAACATAGTGATTTAAAACAACAACTATCTATCTGCTCATGATTCAGCAGACTGGGGCTGAACACAAACAGCAGTGGTCTTTTTGTTGGGTTTATCTAGAGTCTCTCAGTCTCTCAAGCATCTGTGACTGGCTGGAAAACTGAATGAGAAGGAAAATCCAGACCTCACTCATGCCTCTGGGGCTTCTTTTATCAGTGAATCTTCACAGACTCTCCATTAAAGTTTCTTGTAATCATATCTTGTCCTTCCACTTGTCCTTCTTCCCTACTTTCATTTAGGTGAACTACTTCAGCTGGGCTATTTTTCTCTCCTGTGTACTCTCAAAGCACCCTGTGCATTGTCCCTCATCACCCACATAATAGCGGCACTGTAACTGCCTTTTAACCTCTCTGTATCTTAACTGCCCACCCATCTTACTCCTGCTTCAGCCTCACCACCCACTTCCACTGCTAAACACACAGATTAGACTATCAGTTGCTTCAGAGCAGAGTCTTCTTGCTCATGGTTTTATTCCCAGTGTCTGGCACAGTGCCTGGAACAGAATAAGGGATCAGAATGTACCTGTTGAGGAAGTATAACTAAATAACAAAATCATAAATTGAAAGTAAAAATAAAAATTGCATTCCACCCCACTGGAATTTCCACAAATAAATAAAAGAAGTCATTTAAGGGGGCGTAAAGTCCAGGGGTTGGAATGGTGAGTCATTACTATGAGGTAATGGCAGTATTTGATAAATCCATTGCTTCATAAGCATGATACGCGACTAAAGTAGGTTGTTCTTAATAAAAACAGAATCAATACAGAATAAATCATTTAATAAAGAGATATGAAGCAATAATGTCAGGGTACAGTTTTTCACTAGTTCTGAGTATATGAAATGCCTAAAAAAGTCATTTTAGGCCAAAGAGATTTTTTTCTCATCTAAGTTTATTTTAACCACTATGTGATCATAAAATGGTCTCCAATTATTATTTTCTGGACACACAATGTATAAACCAATAAACAGAAAAACATACTTACTGAAACAAGGGAAAATAAGTGTCCAGAACACTCTTCTAGTTCTCTAAACCCATAAAGTTCTCACAGAATTCCATGTTTTGCACTAGGAGCCCTTGAAGCTGGCAACATCTTTACCCACCTGACTAACTTCTTTCTTCAAAACTCCGCTAACTTGTTATAATTCCAAGAAGCATTCCAGAAATCACTCTGACTGTCTTAGATGACATGCCACATGGTACCCTTGTATTCACCATTCCCTTCTATATAGTGACACATCGTTAAAATTGTACGGTTGCTCACCCATTAGACTATAACTTCCTTGAGTGTAAGCAAAGTAGACACTCAGGAAACATTTGTGGAAGAAAAGACTGATGGGAGGAGGAATTAACCACTTTGTATATACTATATACGGGCACTGATAATCATCAAACAAAACTGGAAGGATGTCTGATTACTTTCACTCATCTTACCTGAGGCAGGACATTGCCTAAA